CCAAGATAATAAGTGTATCACTGAAATAAGAGACTACTTGCTTAAAGTATGTGAGGAAAAGGATGTAGTTGGTTAGCTTAAAAGACTTCTAGAAGACCAAGCTGACCATGTTGGTCTAGTGGTTTCCCAGCGTGTTATGAATCTTCCTCCCCAGCTTCTGCCACATCTTTACAATGCCCTTTTTGATGAAATTTCGTGGGCTACTGAAGATGAGGTTAGATGAAGTTTATCTTATCTATAGAAGCTTGTGTTTCTATGTGTTTTGAATGGTAGTGATCTAAATAAACTGATCATTTTGTTTTGCATTTGCTGAAGCTAACAAAAGATCTCCATGAATCTTTTCGCTTCAAACATTGTCTACTGGTCACTAGAATATATAAGGTAATTCAATTTTGTTTTCATCTTTGTCCTCTTGGTAACTTCTCAACAAACAATTTAAATGTACATCTCTCATGTACATTTATCTTTTGCATTCTCCTAGTGTTCTGCCTGTAGCAGAAGATAGGACAAAAGAGGAAGGAATCTTCTAGCAGCAATGATGAGGATTTTATTTATGTAAAACCAGAAGATGAAATTTTCTTCGAGGTTTTTGTCTATCCCAGGTCTTTGTTTTAATTAATATATATCAAATCTCTCCACTTGATATTGATGATTTATGTTTGGGATTTTCAGCTTTGTTCGTGGTCGTTTATTTTCTTAATTTTCCTACTTATTCTTGTATGCCTCAGTTGATCTAGTTACTATAGTTATATAGGGATATTGTGATACTTTCCTTCTTTTTCTTATTCACCCGTGCATGCTTTTAGTTATTTAGCCTACTAGAAGTTATATCATTGTCAATTACTAGCCTTGGAAGGTGTTTTCTCAAGAATAATTTGGCAGCAATGCTGACGATAGCTTGTTTATTGATAATTTTGAATGCAGTTAAAAAATTATCGACTTATGGAACTAGCGATGGCTGTTGAGGCAGACAAAGCACCAGCATTTAGAGAAAAATTGCAATCACTAATTGAAGACTCTTGATTTCTTTCCCTGCAATCTCTTTTCTTGTAATATCCTTCAGTTGAAAATTTTTGATAACCTTTCACCAAAATACACATCAATTTTGTGATCGTAGCTTGTAGTGAGAGAGCTTATATGATTTATTGGTAAGATTTGTAAGAATGGATGAACGATTTTTCTATATGGAAATGAGAACACAACAAAAAAAAAATACTATTTAATCTGGTGGAGAACATTTTTCTTTTGTAAGAAATGGAAGTCGTTTTCTCCTCCAGACTCCTTATCTTCCTTTTTCTCTCCTCTATTCCTATTGCCCTCCATTACTGCTTCTTCAATTCGTTCTCTCTATCACTTTGCTTATAAAGAGTCGAACAAAGAAAAATCGTTTTTCCATTGAAAATAATTTATTTGGTTAAAACGCAATTAAATAAATTAATGGTTAAAACATGTTTTAAATACCATGAAAGAAATATATATGGTGTGATTATGTAAATTATGAAATTAAATGAGTATTTTTTATCGAGAATATACAAAGTAACTTGTTTCATGTGAGTTTATTTAATAGAAATAGAATATACCGCCACCTTCAATTGGCTTTCTTGGACTGGTATGGGTGTGACTTCTAAGTTATGACTTATGAATTTATGATGATATGATTCATAAGAATCTCTCAATTGCATCAATGTCCAGACAACAAAGCTACACAATAAGATATTTTATACTCATACTGGCTTAGTATATCTTATCCATTTCTTTTGAGCAAACCAATAATTTTAGAGTTTTAAATGGACTCCCTTGAGGTGGAAACACCCTCAAACTTAATCCACAAAAGCATTTCCCAAGAATTCAAGTACCTACAAAATAACTACCAAAGACCATAAGACAAAAACACTTAAAAGAGATCAATTAAAATCGACTAAATGATGGAAATAAAGAACAAAAGAGTTGAGAACTCGGGTTGCCTCCCGAGAAGCGCTTCTTTACGAGGTTACTAGCTTGACCGTGAGAAATTGTCATCTAGAGGGTGGCTCAAGATCCATCGGATCAAGCCTCATACATTCAACCAAACCAACTTCATCCTTGCAAAAGTAGTACTGCTTCAGACGATGACCATTAACCATGAACCTGTTGTCACACGCCTCTAACTCAAAAGATCCATAACGAGTATTCCTTGAAATCACGAAAGGCCCCGACCATTTGGATTTGAGCTTTCCGGGAAACAAACGAAGTCTAGAGTTGAAAAATAACACTTTGTCTCCAACCTTAAAGCTCTTGTTCCTTATATGTTGGTCGTGCCATTTCTTGGTTTTTTCCTTGTATAACCTTGAGTTCTCGTAGGCATCATATCAAAGCTCTTCAAGTTCATTGAGCTTGAGCAATCTCTTCTCACCAGCCAACGACATATCCATGTTAAGCTCCTTGATTGCCCACCAAGCTTTATGCTCTAACTCAACCGGCAAATGACAAGCCTTCCTATAGACCAATCGATAGGGGGTTGTACCAATTGGAGTCTTGTACGCCGTCTGCAAGGCCCAAAGTGTGTCGTCAAGCTTGAGGGACCAATCCTTCCTAGACATGTTCACCATCCTTTCAAGAAGGTTCTTGATTTACTATTTGACACCTCCACTTGTCCTTGAGTTTGAGGATGAGAAGGTAGACCAACCTTTTGATGAAATCCGTACCTCTTGAGAAGTGCCTTGAATTGCTTCTTGGCGAAATGAGAACCTCCATCACTAATTAGCACAATAGGGACCCCAAATCGCGGAAATATGATTTTCTTGAGAAGTTTAAGCACAACCTTATGATCATTGGTAGGGGAGGGTATAACTTCAATCCACTTAGTCTTATGGTCCACCGCTACCAAGATGTATAAATTCCCACATGAAGAGACAAAAGGCCCCATAAATTCGACGCCCCAAACATCAAAAGGCTCAACTTCCAAAATGTTTTGTTGAGGCATTTCATCTCTTTTGGTTATGCCACCACTTCTTTGGCACTTGTCGCATCTTGAAACAAGCCTTTAGGCATCCTTATCCATCGTCGACCACCATAGAAGAGATTGAGAAATCTCTGCCACCGTCTTATCAACTCCCCCATGTCCTCCACATGGCAACGAGTGTCAATGCTCAAGAACTCCTTCGATTTCATGGTCCGGAACACATTTGAGGTAAAGGCCATCTCCACATTGTTTCAACAAGTAGGGGTCATTCCAAAAGTACCTCCTCACCTCCTTGAAAAACCTCTTCTTTTGCTGAGAAGAAAACTCCAGGGGAATGACCCCGCAAGCAAGATAATTGGCTATATCTGCATACCATGGGCTAGATGTTGAAGCCATAGCCATGAGAGTTTCAAATCCTACTTCTTAATTGATTGGTACATCCTCCTTGTTCTCAAAAGGAAGCCTAGACAAATGATCCGCCACATAGTTCTCCACTCCCTTTTTATCTCTTATCTCCATGTCAAAATCTTGAAGCGAAAGAACCCAACGGATGAGGCGTGGCTTTGCTTCCTTTTTGGTCATAAGATAGCAAACCTCTATGTGATCCGTGTACACAATCACCTTGGAGAAAATAAGATAGGACCTAAACTTGTCTATGACAAACACAAACACAAACATTTCCTTCTCCGTCGTTGTGTAATTTTTTTTGAGCTTCATCAAGTGTTCTACTTGCATAGTAGATGACATGAGATCTTCCTTCTTTCTTTTGCCCAAGCACCGCATCTACTGCAAAATCACTCGCATCGCACATTAGCTCAAAAGGCAAGCTCCAATCCGGAGCATGCACAACAAGAGAGGAAATGAGAGCTTCCTTGAGTTTTTGAAATGCCTCAAGACAAGACTCGTCAAAGCTAAACACAACATCTTTCTTGAGTAATTCGGTCAAAGGTTTGGCGATTGATGAAATTTTTTTTGATAAACCTCCGGTGAAAACCGGCATGCCCTAGAAAAGCTCTCACTCCTGTAAAGAAAGTAAGAGGGGGCAACTTTGCAATCACCGAAACTTTGGCCGAGTCAACCTCAATGCCTTTCTTTGACACTTTATGGCCTAGGACAATTCCCTCCTCAACCATAAAGTGACATTTCTCCCAATTTAAAACAAAACTTGTCTCTTGACACCTTTTCAAAACTTTTTCAAGATTATAAAGATAAGTGTGAAAAGACGAGCCACCAACACTAAAATCGTCCATAAAAACTTCAATCTCATTTTCAAGAATTTCCGAAAAAAATGGAAGTCATGCATCATTAGAATGTTGAAGGAGCATTACATAACTCGAATGGCATTCTGCGGTACGCAAATGTTCCATATGGACATGTGAAAGTAGTTTTCTCTTGGTCATTTGGGTGGATAAGGATTTGGAAAAATCTAGAATATCCATCCAAGAAACAAAAGAAAGCATGGTGAGAAAGTCTTTCCAACATTTGGTCCATGAAGGGGAGAGGAAAATGGCTTTTCTTTGCATTTTTATTTAACTTCCTATAATCAATACACATTCTCCACCAAGTCACCGTCCAGGTGGAGATTTCCTCTCCTCCTTCTCCCTTGAAAATGGTCATTCCACCTTTCTTTGAAACCACGTGAACCGGGCTAACCCACTTGCTATCGGAGATAGCATAAATTATGCCCGCTTCACGCAATTTCAAGATTTCCTTCTTGACAAGCTCTTGGAGGTTGGGGTTTAACCTCCTTTGAGGTTCAATTGAGGTGGATTGATCATCCTCAAGATGAATACGATCCATGCGCAAAGAAGGGCTAATACCCTTGATATCATCAATGCTATACCCTATCACATTTCTATATTTTCTCAACACAACAAGCAATTTTTCCAAATCAAAACCATTATGGGTAGCATTGACGATAATAGGGTATTCCCCTTCATATCCAAGATAAGAATATTTCAAAGAGGGGGGAAGGGGTTTGAGTTCTACCTTGGGAGGAGGCTTGGAACTCTCCTCCATTTCCTCCTCTAGTTCAAGCTCTTCTTTATCTTCTTGTTGTTCATGGTCTTCTACCATGGCCATGACAAATTCCCTTTCTTCTTGAGAGTGATACTTCCTTGCATGTAAGAGCTTCAACCATTGGATCTTGAGGCTTCATCATAACCCTTCCCAAGCAATCTAACTCCTCATTCACAACATCAGCCCTATAGCATTTTTCAACCATGGGGGTCTTGAGCAACTTAGAGAACTCAAACACAATCTTTTCATCAGCAACCTCACATGTAATGGTGTTGTTCTTGTAATTGATCACCGCCCCCAAAGTCTTAAGAGCTTCATGACCCAAAATCAAAGGAGTATCGCCATCTTCTTCTATATCCATCACTACAAATATGCAAGGTACATAAATATGCCCAACTTGAATGGGAACGTCTTCAAGCTCACCACAAGGTAACTTCACTGAACGGTCGGCCAATTGGATAGTCTTCCTTGTAGGGATCATTTCAACAAGCTTTTGGGAAATGGATACAGGAATCAAACTAACACTTGCTCCAAGATCGGCTAAGGCGCCCCTAGCTTCCATGTTCCCAATCTTTACCGGTAAAATGAAACTTCCCGGATCCGTTTGCTTCGTAGACATCTTATGTTGAACAGGTGCACTCACTTGATGGGGAAGAGTGATGAGCTCATTATTGAGCTTCCTTTTGTTGGTGAGAATATCCTTGAGGAACTTGGAGTATGAAGGCATTTGTGTGACAACTTCGATGAAAGGGAGGTTGATGTGAAAATTCTTCATCACACTAAGGAACTTTGAAAACTTGTCATTCAATTTCCTCTCCGCAAGTTGATTGGGAAATGGAACTGGCCCATCAAGATTCCTAGCCTCACTAGGAGTTGATGTTGTTTTCTCATCTCTAAGATTCTTCTTCTCCATACTTTTTTCTTTCTCAGTAACCTTCCTCTTCCTCAACTTCCTTGTCTTCACCTATACTCTCTTATCCTTCCTTCTTTTCCTCACTATCCCCCTTCTTAGGACCCTCATAGGATGTGCCCGATCTCAATGTGATTTCCTTGCAAGAGTCGGGTTTCATGATGTTGGAAAGGTTAGTTTGTGATTGTCCGGGTAGAGTAGAAGGTGAGTTGAAAGGGACTTTCTCGGCCAATTGAGCTAGTTGTGAAGCAACCATCTTGTTATGAGCCTTGACCTCTTGCATTTTTTTATTCATGTCTTGAAGTTGTTGAAGAATCTGGGTTTGTGTCGAATCGGGTTGAGATGCTTGCTCTTGGCTCCTTTGAGACGCTTGATTTTGATTGTTGTATTGGTTTTGATTATTGTGTTGGTTGTTTCTTGGGTAGTTTCCTCTTGGGTTTTGATTTTGAAATGGAGGTGGGTTTTGGTATGGAGGGTTGGAGTTGTATGATTGTTGAGCTTGTTGGTTCCATTGTTGAGGTTGATGTGCAAATCCGGGTGGTGGTTGCCTCCAAGCTACTCCACCGCCACTTCCCTTATATCCATCTTGCCTTCTGTTGTATGCCGCCACATGCTCGGGGTTCAAACCTCCACAATAAGATGTATCGTGGTTTGTTCCACCATAATTTTGACAAGAGAAAGAATTGACTTGAGAGGACCTTGCCCACTATTGACACTCGTATTCAACTTTGCAATCCCTTTTGAAAAAAGCTCAATTTGATGTTGCAATTGATCAACTTTCTCCAATTCATACTTTCCACCCTTTTTTGGTGCATTCCTCCTTCTACTACCCCAAGAGTAGTTTTTTACTACCTCTTCAATTGTTGATTCAACTTGATTTTAAGGGACCTAATAAGGGCCCTATCCGTTAAAGGCCCTGTCCATTAAACGCCCTTTAAGGTTGACCCTAAACCCATTATCATTGGGCTACCCTACCCAATAACCAGCTCTACTAACAAGTAACCCCATTTTTGTTAACAAGTAATCCTTATATTTAGTCATAGTGCAACAAAGAATAAGATTTTTTTTTTTTGAATAAACGAAGAACAAGAATTTAGAGGAGAGAGAATTATAGAAACATACAATGGAGGAGAGAGAAATTCAAAACATAAAATGGCAGAAGCTTGAATTTCAACAAAGAATCGTAAAATATAAGGGTATTCAACCCCTACGATATAGTAACCCCATACGAAATACACTTATAACAAATTACATATAACTCTTACAAATTATTGAATTAAACATTGAAAAGCTTGAGTTTCAACAGAGGTCGACAATGATGGTGCGCCAAAAATAAGTCAACCTTTTGATTATTTCTTAATAATACGACCATTGGGGGTTGTCCGCTTTAAACAAGTCATGACCTGTTGTTGACTTGATAAATAGGTATATGGGACACGTGTTAATGTTTGATTGGGTTAAAAAAATTTAATTTGTTTTTCTATTTAATATTTTAATTTTTAGTAGGTATAATATTAATTATTATATTATTATTTTTGTAGAAAAAAAAAAAACCCCTCCCCCACCAACCACCCCTTCCCCTCCCTGCCTAGGCTGCCAGCACCTCTTCCTGGCAACCACCAGGCCACCATAGCAAACCTCATCCTCGTTCCACCATACCCCAACCGTCATTCCTAGATCCACACCTCCGTCAAATTCTCTTTCATCCGCCGCAAGCCCGTAACCAACAGTCCACCATAGCCAACCTCAACCTTGACCTCCTCCTTCTTCACTCCTGGAAGATCCTCCTTAAGCACATGCACTCCAGATATCTCCTTCCAGTCAATTCGAGCGTTGACGAAATCAGCGGTGTCGCGAGCATATGGGAACGGTTTCAAGGGGAAGGGTTTGGGGTTTGGGGAGTATAGAAATTAGAAAGTTGGGTTCGATAGCTTGTTTAGGGATCGGAGTTGAGATATTAGAAAAATTGGGATTGTAAATTTGTTTTATTATTGATGGTTGGAGTAGTGAAATTGGTTTGCTGGATGAAAGAATGTGAATTTCCAGTGGTGGTCGGATTTTAGAGGGGAGGGGGTTAGGCCGTTAGGGTGGTCGGATTTTTGAGGGAATAGGGTGTGGGTGGTCGGATTTTGGAGAGGATGGGGTGGTAGTGACTGGTGGTCGGATTTTAGAGGGGAGGGGTGGTGGTGGAGGTCGATTGTGGAGCTATTGAATTATTCATGGTGCATTCATGGAGGTTTGAAGGGAAGAAGAAGAAAGGGAAAAAAAATTTAATTTAAATTTTTAAAAATTGTAATTAACAATCATTAAAGTTGTTATTAATAGTTAATTACATTATTAAACGAAGTTATTAAAAAGAAAAAAGAAACTTAACCTGTCATTCAGGTTGCAGGTTAAATAACTTGTTTAAATCGGACAACCCGAAAGGTCGTATTATTCAGAAAAAGTTAAAAGGTTGACTTATTTTTGGCGGACCGCTGAAAGGTCGTATTATTTATGACAATTTTTCCATAAAAAAAAGCTACGTAGGATTAATAATTTTAAAACACTACAATAGAATTATGCCACGTAAGATTAGTTTTAGAGCGTCACATAGTTATATTTTAGCCAATGAAAAAAAAGAATTGGAATTTATTTTAGAACAATAATTTTAACTAATTATAAAAATAAAATTAGCGCGTTCTTTTGTGTGGCTGGCCATATCATGTGACCGACTGAGACAAACCTAAACACTAACCTGGTAACCCCTGACCGTCCGAATAACCCTTGATCGATTGAGTAACCCTTAATCAACCAAGTAACTCTTAACTAAGTAATCCCGACCACATGGTAAAGTTAATAATTCATTTTATAATTGAAAATTCAAGTAGTAAGCAAGAGAATATCACAAAGTTTATTAGATAAATATACATTTATTAATATTTTATTTGAAAAAATACAAACAAACATGCATCACACAGGGTTCATCTAGTAACAATAAATTAGGTGATAAAAATCTTTAATGTTGTCGAACAATCAAAATTAAACTTTTGGAAACTTTACTATTTAAACACAATAAAAATTGCATAAGTTTTATAATCCATGTTAAATTTTTTTTTAATGTGGTAAAATAAAATTTTATCTTTGTTTAGGTGGTAAAAAACAATTTGATTTTTTTATAATTAAGGCCCCGTTCACTTCACCTTATTTTCGTTGAACTGAAATTATTTTTACTGAACTGAAATTATTTTTGCCGGACTTAAATTATTTTTACTGAATTGAAATTAATTTTACTGAAATGAAATTATTTTTTTGAATTGAAATTATCTTTACTGGTTCTATATTATATTTCTTCTTTAAAGTTACTGATTTTAACTGAATTAAAATTATTTTTACTGAACTGAACTTAATTTTACTGAACAGAAATTATTTTTACTTAACTGAAATTGTTTTTACTGAATATTATTTTTTTTAATGTGAAGTGAACAGCGCCTGAGTGATAAAAAAAAATATCTTAGAGTAGAGAGACGATAACAAAACTAAAATGAAAATTTCCTTTTAAAAAAAAGGAAAAAACCTAAGATGAAAATTAATTATAATGTCCTCGGGCGCTGTACACCCCTTCCTCTTCCATTGAACCATACTCTGTGTTCTCCATTGAAGCGGCTTCTGAGATTTCTCTCCTCCATTGAAGCTGGCTTCTAAGGTAAGCTGATTTTTCCTTTTATTTCATTATCATTAATTATCGATTCATTGTATATTAATTTCCAAATCAAGGGTTTAGTTTCACACTATCAATATTTTAATTGTCATTAGTCAATTTAGGATTCTTCTAAGGTTTATTATTGAACTATATTGATTAAAATTACTCTAGTTTTACTGTGTGTTGTTTACGTTTAATATGCTTAAAAGAGAAGTATTTTGTGTGGTTTTTTGGGAGTAATTTGATAATTGAGTCAAATTTGGTTTTTACTATGTTGCAGGAATCTGTTTATAACCCTTTAATGTTAGGAGGGAACTATAAAAATGGACTTTTTCTCCTTGGGCTAAATGCAGCCGCCCCTCTTGCCCTGGCTCGGGGGCAGGGCTGCTCGTATTGGTTAAATTGGTATTGTTGCTTTAGAGTAATATGGTAAAATAACTGTTCAGTGATAGTTCTATGTGGGTTTGTTTAGTTTGCATAAGTGCATTACAAATTACTACGTATATTGATTTGAGGGGATCAAGAGGCACGGTTTAGAGGAGTTGGTTTGATGGGGGTGTTTGAATTCGATGTTCGTTCTTATGGTGTTGGGTTGTTTGGAAGGAAATGATTACTTTTGTCTTATTAATGAATTTTTCTTGAGCAATAAAAATAATTCATGGATGAGCCTAATTATTTGAGATTGGAGTTTCCAATTCAATGACTGTAGCTAGTAGATTATTGATTTTTTTTTTACAGGTGTTGCTAATTTTAGCAGTTTGGTGTATGGAGGTGTAGTTGGTTTTACATCCTTTGGTGTTATGAGTTTCGGTTTCATGGTATGATGAGCTTTAGGTCCTTTCACAGTAATAGTTCTAACTATAAAAAATAAAAAATAAAAAATCATTAAAAAACGTCATTGTTAAATATTGTAAAATGGTATGATGAGCTTTAGGTAATTGTTTGTGTCTTATGGATGTTTGAGTTTCTCCGATGTGTAGATATGCGTATGAGATTAAATTTTGAGTCGTTGATGTATGAGTTTTATACCATGTTTTATCCCGGTTTTACAATGTATATTTGCATGGTTTTGGGCTCTTTGGAGCCATTTCTTGCTAAAAATCTCTTCTCTAGTGTGTTCAATCTATTTTTGTGAGTTTCATAGGAATACAGAGCTTCGTGGATGAATCGGATGTGTTTTGGATAGTTATAAAAGAGGTTAGTATGCGAAGATGGATATTTCTCCCATGCCTTGTTGACCATGGCTTGCCCGGTCAGACAGGGCAAAGAAGGATGAGCTAGATACAGAGTATACACTGCAACCCCTGCATGCCCGGTTGGG